TTATAAAAAATTATAGAGTCTGTGGCTGTTCCATTGCAACACATATATAAATATTGGAAAATAAATATTTCCATATTCTTTAAAACATCTCAAAAATAATTCCAATATTTAAAAAAGGTAGATAAAAACAAATTAGTAATTATAGTCCGATTATATTGAGTATATTCTCCAAAATATTGGAAAAGTTAATTTACATTATACTTAAGGATTCTGTTAATCAATTTAATGTATTGTCTGAATTCAAGCGCGGATTGCGTAAGGAAAAAATCTACTCAACAAGGATGTATGAAATTATTATTGCTAATATGCAGAAATGTGAATTTCTCACAACAGTGCTCTTGAAATTATCTAAAGTATTTGACTTTGTAAGTCCGTTATTGTTAAAAAATATAATATGTGAATTAGAGATAAAATGTATAATTTTTAGGAGAGTTATTATTACTTAAAAAGCAGATCATCAATAGTTAATATTGATAACAGATTTTCTGATTAATTAATAAATATAAAACCATTGTTGTTTTTCTAGGACTACTGTTGTATTTATCAAATGTTAATGACATAATAGATCTATTATTTGATATAAAGGAATTTTATTTGCAGATGATATTACAATTATATTTAGGGTCTTTAGTTAAAATGGTTAATTTGTCATTATATAGGTCTAATTTTTGACTTGATGATAGAAAATTTTGGTAAATCTTATAACGTTAGAAACCGAATTTCGATACCCGTGGTTGGCAGAACACAGATGACCCATTATGTAGCTTTGTGCTTAACTTCAAACAAACAAACAAATTAAATTATTAATTTTTATGTTTATGATAAAAAAATAGTTAATTAATATACCCAATCTTCAAACTTTTTTCTTTTACAAACATCAAGGACATTCATAGTTTATAGTACAATTAATGCTGATTTACACAACACATTTTAAAAAATCAATAGACCGGTGTTCAATAATTCATCTAGGAATAAATATTTGGAATACTAATCCTAATAACATAGGATAAATCCTTAACAAAAATTTCAGTTTCAAAAACTGTTTATCAAATATATGCTCAAATGGTACAAATAATAACTTTATGATAACATTGACATACATAGTGGTATCTAATATATATATATATATATATATATCTGTTATTTTTGTATTTATATATATATTTATTTTCTTCTTTTATTGATTTAATAAGTAATACTTTTTCCTTTTAGTGCTTTTGTATAAACATTCTCATTTTTGTATTGATTATGGTTAAAATTATTAGTATTTTACAACACATTGTATTACCTAGTACTTGGATAAAATGTTGTTGGATTGAATATATAGATAAATGAACATGTGTGTAAGCAGGAGGGTGCAGTAGGTACGACCGCACCTCCTAACTTGCACCCTTATAGGTATAAAACATATTTAAAATAACAATCTCACATCCCATCAAAATGCACCATTTTCAGTGAAAATTACCAAATTTCCCAAAGTCATGCTTTAGAACCCTCATCCCCGTATGGGTTATCAACTCCTTTACTCCAAAAGTAGCACCACTACAGCCTTTATAGATTTCTGCCTATGCCCTGGAACAGGATTTTCAATCATTGTTCAATGAAATTGATTTCTATATAATTCAGACACCAGGTGTCTAAAAATAATTGTATTGTAATGAATCTCACAACTAAAAGTGGTAACAAAACGTATTTATTTGTATGTTGGTTAATGCTAAACGTTATCTTGGAGTTACGCAGAATTGACGCTAAATTCATGTCACAAGAATAAATAATCCAAAAATGAATGTATATTATGTAAGCAATATAATTATAATTCAATAGTCTATGAAGTTAAATAAATGTTTACAATTATTTTGGAAGGTTCGAATAAACAAAATATGGAACAACCATGGGCTTGTCCTTTTGGAGAGATATGCCCCCCCCCCTCAACAGCCCTCCATCTGAGATATAGTCTTTCAAGATTTTTTAATTCTCTACGTCGCACCCCCTCCCCCTACTGACGTGAAAGTGGTATTTTTTCTGCCCCCTTATGTCCTTATGGCAATGCATGGTAGCGACGGCTATGTCTGAATCCTAAGAGCCTCTTACTTGCTTGGCTGTTTATTACAAGTGCGCAAAATGTGCCTAGAATGTTGAATTAATTAATTCCAATTCGTCTGTGATCTTGTTGTGTTCGTGTTTGTTGATTTGTCTTGGGCTTAACTAGAAAAACTCGACTAAAGGAAAACAAAGTAAATATATTCATATAACATCCGCATCGTGGAAGTATTGTATCATTCATTATAATTAAAGGAGATTTATTCCTTTTAGAAGACTGATGTGTTCATTTCATTCGAGGCAAATTGGCTTAGGATCTCGAGGCCTGCCAGTTTAAGCTCATGAAATCTCGTAACTTAAGATCTCAAGGCCTGCCAGATCTCGAGGCCTACCAACTTCAAGATCTCAAGACTTGTCACCTTAAAATGTTGACGTCTTCCAGCGCAAAATCTTTAGGTCTTCCAGCTTAAAGATCTTGTGGCTTGTCACCTTAAGATATTGATGGCTCCCAGAGTAAAATCGTGAAGCCTATTAGCTTTATGTCTTAAGGCCTACCAGTTTAAGAAGTTGATAACTGCTAACTCACTTAAGTACTATAGGCCTACCAGCTTAAGATCTTGAGGCCTGCCACCTTAATATTATTGGCAGTGATGAATATTATTAAACTCTGCAAACCAAAGAGAACCATGCCGATTAAACAGGGAGATCTATTTTCAGTCAAAAACCAGTTATTAATTCTGTTAGTTCTTAATATTGAACTCTACTGATATTGGTGCATATTTTTTAAACATGAAACTTCAACAGATATTCCTGATTGTTTAGGCAACATTATATGGTAATCACTAATGACTTTCACTTAGCATCAAAATATTTTTAGTGTAATACATTTTCTACTGAACCTTTCCCCTAAAAGTAAAAGCATTCTTTCATGACATTACGAAAACACTTCGGTTCAGAAAATTAACTTAAGAAAGAAATACAAACCCTATAAACCCGAGCGCTTTCGAAAGGTGGATCTTTCTTCACCAGGAGCAAAGAAAGGACCACCTTTCGAAAGTACTTGAGTTATAGAGTTTTGTATTTTGGTAGTAAAGAAATTCTTAATTTTACATGTGACGAAAACTAATGTCGAAACTTACCACTCTTAAGGTCGTTTATATCAAACCTGTCCTTTATTTATATAAAATGTCACAAACAAATTCACTCGTCATTAAACCGACAATGGAATGACTTTACTACCCGGAACACAACTTCAAAACGAGGACTAAACGAAACAAATAAGTGACGGGCACGCTAAAGGGATTCAAGATTTTAGTGATTTTTGAAAAACTTAGGGAGAACGTGCTATATCTTTACTATCTTATATAAGTAGGCCATTTACCGGTTTCAAGAATCTGATGTCAATTAACCGAGCCGAAACGAGTTAAAAAAATATTTGTAACAGCGCTAACAACTCGAATAGGCGTGATTCCAAGTTTGAAGGCTTTCCATTACGTCGTATAAATTTTCCAGCCTTAGCGTGCACTATAGTTGATACCCTTGGAATACCTACCGTCCAGTAATAAGAAACACAAAATTTACGCAGCTCAGTTGCATACACGGTATAAATAATAAAAATGTTAATACTGACTATATAGGTCAACCTTGGGCAACAATCAACTAATACACACCTATATATATATATATATACGTGTGTGTGTGTGTCACGTCTTTTCTGAGAAAGTAACTGTATAGAAAGATTTAGATATGGGGTTTATTACGGATGTTTTGAAATTTAACAAAAGCAGAATGTGTTTTATTGTTAAACAGCGTCTGACTGGACTGTGTCGTGACATCAGTTAGTCTGACTGACAACAATATCAACACATAGAGCTTTCCCACCATCGATCTGGTCATTATTATCCCAAAGAACTTGTTCAAGAAGAACTTGGTTATTCTCAACACAAAGAGCCTGTCCAACAAGGATCTGGTCATTTTCAATCTAAAGGGTCTGTCCAACAAGAATCTGGTCACTCTCAACCCCATACCGTCCAACCAGGAATTTGTCGATATTAACTCAGAGAACCTGTCGTTAAAATTGACGGTGAATGGGAAAATATACCAACTATAAATTAATACTTATTATTTATCACAATAAAAGCAAAAAACATTTAAACTTGATTGTTCATTGATAACATTATACGTAAAAAGGTTTTTAAAAAATAATTTTCGTACAGGTCAGAAATGGTTGTTTTTATGTTCAAAATCATGATATAAAACATCCTTCACACCTAAGGTTAGTTTGACGTAAAATAGTGTCACAAACTCACAAACTATTAAAAATTCTTGATAATTAGCCACTGAAGGTCCCATGCTGTCTTAAATCCAGGTTTCGATATTCGTGATGGGCACAGCACATACAACCCTTTGTGTAGCTTGGTGCTTGAACAACAAACAAATGGATTTTCATATGAGCAAATGCGTTGTATCTGTTACCAAATTAGGCTTAATAACACACTTTTCAGACAAGGTGTTATTGGTTGTACAGAATCCAACTTGTTAACCTGATGTCGCCAGGTGAGATACAAGAAGTGAGAATGATAATTAATAACTCACTGTTATAAACTTAGAAAAATAATTACTCTAAATAATTTACAATTAAATAAATATTTTACAGTATTTCCAGAACCCAACATATTTTTATTCCACATTTTTTAACATGTTCTTTTAGAGTAGGGCCAGAGGTAGCTAGAGTATCGGGCTGAGGATGGAAAGGTTTGAGGTTTCAGATATAATGCCTCTGAACATGTTCCGTGTTTTCAGTCTTGGGTATATTTATAAATTGTCTGTCAGTTCCGCTATTCGGTTCGATAAGCCGGACAAAGTTCTTGTAGAGATGAGTACAAGTGGTTGGCTGCTTTTCTGCTGGTCAGGAGTTCAAGACTATTGACGCTTAGACCTGAATCCCAGAGGTTTCTGACCTGACCGTTTAGGCCACGTTGCTTAAGGATCCATTCAGGTTGAAAATGCCAATCCATTTTATTCGGTATATTCTTATGAATTTACTTCTTTTTGTTATTTTTTAGCATAGACAGTTTATTAGTCGCATACGTTATTGGCGTAACTGTGCACGTTATTTTGTGGTGACATTAATACGCTTTCTGTAACGATAGACTGACTTTCATTAGAATTATTTAAAATGCATTTTACATGAATGTATCACTCCTATTAATTTTTGTTTTCTTTTTCAATAAACACGAAGCTGCAATAATGGGTTATCCGTGTTCTACTCGCCGCAGGAATCGAACCCCGAATAGTGAGTTGTTTCCTTAGCAAAATAAGCCCCCCCCCCCAGTGGAACAGCGGAATGTTTGAAGATTTACAACGCTAAAACACTGGTTTCCATACTCGTGGTGGCACATCACGGATAGCCCATTGTGTAACTTTAGGCTTAACTACAAGCAAACAAATAAAACAGGAAGTCAGTATCAGCAAACGCCTTGAATTAAACAGAACTGCAACAGATTCGACTTTGTTGTCGTTGCTTATAAGTTTCCTCTAAAAAAGTGTAAGTAAAATTCAAGCTTGTGTTCTCCTGGCCTATTAAACAACGTGAAAATCACGCCCATATGGTGGATCATAAATTAAGTTTGTGACTCAGATAATCAAACTATCAGTAGCATTAAAATATAAACACATACACACATAACAGTCCCACCTAGTCATTGCTACTTTATGAATTTAACATATTTTATGCTTGACAAGTTTTCTCAAAATATTTTTAAATCTCGATAACGCTACTTATGATGCAGGATATTTTTCGTTTTTAAAAAGTTCAACTATTCTCGTTCTGGTTTGAACATGCTCACGTACTACACAAACGATGATACGCCCTGATTAATACGTCAAATAATTTCATGTTTCGTGAATATTCTTTTCTATAAATCCTGTTAAGGAAAATGAAATAGGTGAAAGCATTCACAAAATAGCTAAGCTGAGAGATGTTGACAATGGTAAAGCAGGAGAATAACTAAAAAAGTAAGTTTATGTAAAAACCTGTTTAATTCATCCTGGTCGTATATATAAACTTCGTAACTTAAGATCAAACCTTAGGGTAGAAATCTACATCAAAATATTAACTCCGACGAAGTCCCAGTTGAAAATAGTATAATTCCAAAATATCTGCTAATTAGATGAGACGAAATCTGAATATAATAATATAATAAATATAATTTTACGTCGTTTCAGTCTCGATAGTAATTATCGTGTCAATAGATGGCGCTAACAAAAGCTCTATAATATTTACTGTGTCGTATCCAAAATAAAACCTTGATATATTTGGTGGAAAACGAAATCTGATAATGAATAGTAGAGCCACGGCAAAACAATTGTAAACATCTTTAATGAACGTTTCGGAATTACGCATTAAAGATGTTTACATTTGTTGCCGTGGCTCTACTATTTATTACATAAAACAACATTTAGACAGAAAATTAATATTCCTAACCAATGATGCAAGTTAATACAGGTTGTCAACAGACAGCGATAAATACGTGTAATAACTTTTTTCTGTTATTATTTAACATGCTGAAACATTCAAAAGTGAAGTAATTGAGAACTAACTTTGTATATATATATATATATATATAAATGTTTAAATATAAAACATTTCAGGAAAAGTTAGTCTTAGCAATCACTGAATTAGTAAATATATTTTACCAGGTTGACATGGAAACTGTTTGTAATCCCAGTAGCGAGTGCAATGAAACAAACACCACGGATGTTTCTAAGGTTGTCAAGAACATCTATATAAATTTGGTACTTCGACATAGAACAGAAGGTTGTCAAGAACATCTATATAAATTTGGTACTTCGTCACAGAGCAGAAGGTTGTCAAGAACATCTATATAAATTTGATTCTTCGACACAGAGCAGAAGGTTGTCAAGAACATCTATATAAATTTGGTACTTCGTCACAGAGCAGAAGGTTGTGAAGAACATTTATATAAATTTGTTACTTCGACACAGAACAGTAAGAAATCGTTACCAGTACGGATACAGGAGTGTGATAAGTTCTTTCACGGATGATTACTTGACACGACTCATGGTGAGACTGATGACCAAAATAATACTGTCTAATTTATCATACAGGTTTTATATAAAACATATCTAATATTTGTCTTCTGGGGATGTTTACATACAACTGTTTTTATCCACACAGTCCTGGATGTTAACAAACAAATGCTATAATGTAAACATAACGTCATCATGCAAGTAGCTATAAGAGTATTTACAATACACCACTCAAGCAACCACAGTGTGCTTAGAGTGCATTAGTATCATTCATATTAATTATCACATTGTGTTTATAATACATTAGTATCATTCATATTAATTATCACACTGTGTTTATAATACATTAGTATCATTCATATTAATTATCACATTGTGTTTATAATACATTAGTATCATTCATATTAATTATCACATTGTGTTTATAATACATTAGTATCATTCATATTAATTATCACATTGTGTTTATAATACATTAGTATCATTCATATCATCACATTATGCTTATAATACATTAGTATCATTCATATTAATTATCACATTATGTTTATAATACATTAGTATCATTCATATTAATTATCACATTGTGTTTATAATACGTTAGTATCATTCATATCATCACATTATGTTTATAATATATTAGTACCACAGATGGTGACACAATGTTTTTGATATATAGAGAAATAACATCCCTACCGGGGCAGATTTTTTTACAATACTACGGTATCATCAATAATAGCGTTTTCGTTGATATTGGACACAAATATCACTTTTAAGGGTAGAGTTGTTTTTTTTAATAATTTCTATTTTAACAACAAAAGAGGAACAGGATTTCCGAAAAAGACGTTTTTTTTTATAATATAGATATCAAATTGTGAAATATTTCATTGCAATTTGTTGAGGTAGAAAAGGGTTATAAATTAAAATCTTCCTCAAGTCTTTTTCAATTTAAACTAATGATAGTAATTATTCCGATGGCGATAAATTAATGTATATTTTCTTTATTTAATTCTTTAATAAACTTTTTTTTACAAAAAGAGAATGATGTTAATATATAAAATAATGCAGAAATATACAAGAAATGGGTAATTTAGGTACATTTCCTAAAAATATTTAATATTGTTAAAAGGAGTAGATACGACTTGGAACTATACACCTGGAAAAAAGTTAAGCACCCCCAAATATTTTTCAGGATTGCTTATTGAAAATAAGGTTTAATTTTCATGATGTTGAGCAATGTTCATAATTTCAAACATAATTGAAAGGATGTGAGCGTTCAGGTGTGACATTTAAATCAGGCTCGTTTTTTTCCCCACGTGC